GGAGCGAGGCTAGGCGGGGCTCTGCGCTGGCTCCCTGGAAACGTTATAGGAGAGAAATGAGCCAAGACGGGGCTGCTGTCAGCTCCCTGGGAAGTCAGGGGAGATGGGGCCTTGGAGATGGGATCAGGGGGTTAGCCCGGGACAAGCTACCACTGCCCATTGCTCCCCTGGTTGCAAGTCTCATGGGGTCCCTTAGAGTTTAGGAGATGCCACCCGGTAGGGGAAGTAAGAGGGGCAGGCTTGCTCCTGGGAGGGAGAGTGCTGTAAAGAATTTTCATAGTTTAGCCCTGGCTGGTGTGGCTCAGTGGATTGAGCGCCCGCCTGCAAACTGAGAGGTCCCTGGTTTGATTTCCAGTCAGGGCATATTCCTGGGTTGTGGGCCAGGTCCCTATTTGGGGACATGTGAGAGGCAACCAATCACACACTGATGTTTCTCTCCCTCTCTTTCTCCCTCCCTTCCCCTCTCTCTAAAAGAAAATAAATAAAATATTTTTTAAAAAGAAAGACTCTTTATAGGAGTTTATTAGAGCCAAACTGAGGACATATGCCAGTGAGAAAAATTTCAAGTGCTCCAGAGAATATTGTAGTTTTGAAGCTGCTTTTCTGCGTTTGAGAATATAAAGAGGGAACATAAGGAAGATTACATAGAGATAGGAAAAAGCAAGGCGGGGATTGGATTACAGGATGGTTAACAAGATTACCTGCACTCTTGAGGGTGGTTACGGCTTATTTCAAAAGTGTGTTAACCTAGATACACAAGAACAATGTCCGGTGCTTGCTTGAGGCAAAGATAAACCTTTTACTAAAGAAACTCTAAGCCTGGGGTGTGACTACCTGCATAATCTGCCCAGTTAGGAATTCTGATCAGTTCACCCTGTGAGGTTACTTTCCACAGAACCCCTTTTATTGTTCACACCCCACAAGAGAACAAGGCTTAAACCCAACCAGAAATGGAGACAACCAGGCTCCTCTCCCCCTGCCCACAGCAAGGCTAGAGTGACCTCTCACCTGGAAGGGGACGGACTGGCTGAACCTGGTGCCTCAAGCCAAAATCTGTGCTCCGATGTTTGTTGTTGCAATTGTTTTTTCGCCCTGGGGAGGACAGCGAGGGGAGGGAGTCTCTGGGAATTCCAGCCTGTGTTGACGTGAGGCCCTTGTGGAGGCAGCCGGAAGGAGACAGGACAAGGAGGAAGTAGACCTGCTCAGGGGCTGCAGGCCCACGTGAAGCACAGCTCACTGAACTTTCCTTGCCTCAGGGTCCTGGGCTTTGGGGTGGGGACAGCACAAGCACAGAATGTCCAGCTGCTGGGGCACCATCTGGCATCAGCAGACTCTAAGGGCGCCCTGGTGCAGGTGTGTGGCAGCAGGAAGGAGGTGGCTGAGCCTGGCTTTCCCTTTCCTGTCCTTGTCCTGTCGCCCTCCGCCACCCTCCCCCAATATTTCATTCAGCCTCATATCTGAAGCTATTCTGTTTTGTTCTGGGCCATCCTCCCCTGCCCTGTCATATTGTGAGTAGGCACTGAGTTTGGGCTGTGGGGCCCTTCCTTGCCCCCCACCCTCAGCTGCCCACCAGGCCCTGCCACTGGTGTCATCTCACCTCTGCCTTGGTCAGGACACCCTGGGCTGTGCAGACCTTGGTGCCACAAGGCAGGGGCCCTGTGCCAGGGCTCAGGGTCACTGGTATCTGCCCATCTAAGTGCTGACCTGTCCCCTCACTTCCCTTAGTGCTCTGGGAACTGCAGCCTTGTCTGAGGGGAGATGCAGCAGGATCCCAGAGCTTCCAGATGCCCCAGCCTCCGAGCAATTGAAAAGGGATCTCTGAGCCCTGGCTGGTGTGGCTTAGTGGACTGAGCACCAGCCTGTGAACCAAAGGGTCGCTGGTTCGATTCCCAGTCAGGGCACATGACTAGGTTGCGGGCCAGGTCCCCAGTAGGGGGCTCGCAAGAGGCAACTACACATTGATGTTTCTCTCTCTTTCTCCCTCCCTTCCCCTTTCTAAAAATAAGTAAATAAAAGAAGAGAAAAGAAAGAAAAGAAAAGGGATTTCTGAGGTGCGTGGTGCTTCTTCCCTAATCACAGCTTGTGGTGGCTTAAGAGGGTTCAAACATCAGCCTTAGGTTCCTGAGAAAGCACATCACAGTGTGATACAAAATAGACAGTGCCCTGGCTGGTGTGGCTCAGTGGACTGGGTGTCAGCCTGCGAACCAAAGACTTGCCTTTTTGATTCCCAGTCAGAGCACATGCCTGGGTTGTGGGCCAGGTCCCCAGTAGGAAGCGCTCAAGAGGCAACAACACATAGATGTTTCTCTCCCTCTGTCTCTCCCTCCCTTCCCCTCTCTCTAAAAATAAATAAAATCTTAAAAGAAAAAAGATGGGAGTCGGGACTCTGAGTTCCAGTCCTGGCTCTGCCCTGCACATCCAAGTGACAGTGGGCTGATCACTTGCTGTGCCTGAACCTCAGTTTTCCCATCTGTAAAATGCGGGGTTCAGAATGGCCCATCTAATCCAGATCTGAGGTCCTTTGATTTCTTTCTCCAAAAACTCCAAGTGACTTTTGTGCAGGGGTGACAAGAGGCAATCAGGATTTTTGGGAAAGGATTCCAGGTGGCGGTGCAGATTCCAGTGGCCAAAACATAGTGACAGTCAGACCTACTTTGAATGCCAGCCTTACCAGTATGTGTGACCGTAGTAAAGGGACAGAGCCTCTTCCACACTCAGTTTTCCCATTTGTACCAGTGGGACGGTAAGGCTCCCAAGGGCTCAGTGCTCACAAGGCACATGGAGCAATGGGCACAGAATGTGGACCCTGGCTGGTTCTAGTTCCCGACTCCAGACGGCTGCCCTCTTCCAGTCCTCCCATTCCTGGATTTTGAACCCATGAGGCCCTCCCATTTCAGCCGGCCATACCCAGTCCCACAAGGCCCTGGGATTGAGGGAGCCTGCAGCCTAGGCCTGCTGCTATGGCTCCTTCATGGGACAAACCCATGTTCCTCAGCCGTCAAGGTCCTCAAGACTCTGCCCTGTAGGGCCCCAGCTCTGTGTGCCTCCTCCTGGCAGCCTCCTCCCTACATCCCCGGGGGAGGGCATGCTTCTTCTGTGTTCCTACAGCCTCCTGGCATTTAACCATGTAACCCCTGGTTATATTGTTACGTGTGTAGCTAATGCCTCTTGACCTATCAACACATGTTAAATTATGAACTTACTTGAGGGTAGCAACTGTTTTCTTTGTATCCCCAGCACCCAGGATAGAGCCTGGCACTCAGCAGGTGCTCAATAAATGTCGACTGACTGCACAACTGATTGGACGAATGAGCCTCAGCCTTGCTTCTCCCCCGTGGTGCACTGGCTGTTCCTAGTTATTGCCCCACTGGCCCCCCACCTTCACTCCTCCCTGCTCTGCCAGCGGGAAGCCTACTCACCCTCCAGGGTATAGCTGAAATTTCATTTCCCATGAATACAATGGGGAAGACACAGTCCCTGCGGCCCAGGGAGTCCCGCAATGCTGCTAGCGAGAGCCACGGAGGCACCCAGGAGGGGCACTCACCCAGGACCCAGCCTACCCACACAGTGCCAATTAGAGAGCCTGCTTGAGATGGAGTCCCAAGGGTGCACAGCTTGGCAACGAAAAAAGGCACCCCCTCCCTGGGCCAGCTGGGCAAGCAAAGGCTGGGTAGATTTTGGTTCCCATCAGCACCCCCACGAAGTGCCCACTGTACAGCCCTGACCTCATGCAGCCTGGGCAGGGCTACAGCTCCTCGGAAGCAGTGTCGGACCCCTTCCCCCTCTCCCTCTACCTTCTCACTCTCCTGGCGGACGGACGGACGCAGGGTGCTGTCGTATGTGTGGCCCCAGCACCCGCAAACTCCCAGCTCTTTGGTCATAATGTTTTAAACAAATAAAATTACAAAGGAAAGCAATTATATTGAGACAGTTATCAAAACACTTACTTTTTTGGCATAATAATGTATATGCTTTTTATTAACACGATAAAAACAAGAAAGGCCCAATAATTACAGTCATTTCAAAGTAGTGTTGAGAGTAAACACTATTTTAAGATATCACCCAAAACTATGATACAACCTGAAAACACCTGTGACTTCTGTTGGTTACAAAGTCACAGGCACTGTTACTGTTGTGGCTTGTTGCCCAAATACCTATGAGAATGTTAAATTTTGGTTATAGGTAAGTTAAAATATAGTTTTTTTCTGTTTAGGTTCACAACTTGGAGTGGGAAGGAGAAAATTGTCACTGATTGAGCCTTATGCTTGTCATTTAATCCTTACACTAACCATGAGGGAGATGTATTATAACCCAGATTTTCTGATGAGATACTTGAGGCTCAGAGAAGTTGAATGAGTTGCCCAAAGTCATCCAGGCCCCGCTGGGAAGCCCTGTTGGTCCCACAGAGCTGCCTCCTTAAGGTAGACAAGTTACAGAACAAGGTGTTCGGTTGTCCCTTTGGCCCTAGAATTCCCTCCCCCACACAGGCCCTGTGACTTGGGCAGGGGGTCAAACTAGTATACAGAAGGCTTATGGCCCCTGGAAATCACACACACTCAGGTATTTTTATCTCCAGTTTATTTTTTTAGACTAAGAGCAGAGTATGAAAGTCACAGCCAAAGCACTTGAAAAAGGCCCAGGAGGATGGGTGGGGACCACAGAGGGTGAGCAGGGTAAGGTCCTGGGAGCTGGGTCCTGGCTTAGGGCTGGGGGGGAGGGGCATTGTTGTCTCATGGTCTCCAAAAGTGTCTGTGCGTTGCATAGGTCTTGTCTTCACAGAAGACAAAAGAGGGGTCAGGGGGTCCCCCAGTGGGGGGCCTAGCCTGATGGGGAAGGGGTCTGAAGTTGGAAGGGGAAGTCAAGGAAGGTCAGGGGGTTAAGGAGGGGAAGGGACTCTGTCCATCTGTACATTATATATAGAGATATAGAGTCTGTACATGCCCACCTGGCACCCCAATGCCCACCCCTTGTCACCCTTTTCCACTGCCCGCCCCCCCAGGGTGTCTAACTTGTAAACTTGGATTCAATCCAAACCACAATCCTGGGAGTGGGAATGGGGGAAGGAGGACGTGCTTATTGCTGTAAACAGGGGAAGGGGGCAGCAGGTGATGCCATCCCCTTGCCCATCTAGTCCCCTCCCCATGTCCTGCCCCTGGAAGAGAGAGATGGGGGTGCCTCCCACACTTCAATGTGCTCTCTTTGGGGCATATTTGTTTCTCTGGGGGGACAAAAGGGGAGGGCACCAGGGGACAGAGAAAGGTACCAGGGGGCAGGGAGTCCTGAGCACTGCCTTTTATGGCCCCCCAGTTTGGTACCAAACATTACCGGAACCTCAAGGCCTCTGTGACCTGTGGCTGTCCCTGTGCCTGGTCCACTACAGTGCCCTACGTAGAGGGAGGGGGCAGAAGGGGCGGACACAGATGTATGGTGCGAGCCCCACTTCCAGCCATCCGAGGAGGGGTCTAGGCTGCTGGGCTAGGCTTCCCATGGAGAGGCCAAAGTCTCCCTTTTCGGGCCCAGCCCCTTCCATCTCTCCCCCCAGTCAAGGGAGGGAACCGAGCTAGGAGGCCAAGAGTGTCATAAGGAAGAAGGCGATGCCCACCGCCAGGGGCAGGTGTTCCCGCTTAGGGCTGGTCCCGCTGATACTCTTCTCAAGCTTGGGCACCTGGGGGTTCTCTCCCGCAAAGTCTTCTGTGGACAGATTAAGAGACCGACTGGTGAGGGCTGGGCTGCACGCCGCGGTGGGAGCACGCGGCGGCGGCGGCGGCGGCAGCAGAAGCAGAAGCAGCAGCAGCAGCAGCAGCAGCAGCAGCAGCAGCAGCAGCAGCAGGGGAGCTGGGGACGTGACCACCCACGTGGGTAGGAGGGATCGGTGTCCCCAAGGGAAAGGCATGCGAGGTGAGCAGGCACCGGGGAGGGGACTGCGGTTCCAGCAGTGGCCACCAGAGGGCGCTGCGCACTCACCCAGTACGTTGATCTTCACATTGGGGCCCATGGTGAACTGGGGGAGAGTGGGGACCGGCTTCTCCCCGGAGTGCGATGCTGCGCGGTGAGGTGCGGGTGGGGAGAGAGGAGGGGAGAGTCAGGGCCAGGATCCCCTCGCCCTGCTACAGCTGGGGAGCGAGTCCTCCTCTCCTGTGCCCTCCGCCCTCACCCCCGGGAAGCCAGGGGAGCCCCGAAGCAGGGGAGCCAAGAGTGGGGTCGCGGCTGGGAGCGGCTGTACTCACTGGAGGCGCAGCAGACGAACACCTTCATCCTCAGACACTTCCAGTGCAGGTTGTGGGTGGGCGTGGCTGGGGGGAGATGGGCTCTCTCAGGGTCTGCTCACCTTGCCCTCACCCAAAAACTCTCCTCGCCGCCCCCCCGCCCCCTGCCCCTCCGGGCGATCTCCTTCAGTAGCTCCCCGAACCTTGAACTCTGGTCACAAGGCTCTGCTGCCAGCCCCAGAAGCCCCTTCCGTCTTAGACCTCCTGAAACTCGGACCCCGAGGTCCCGCGGAAAGCGCGGCCCAAACCTAGGCCTGTCACCAAATACCCCCGCAGCCTCACGACCCTGTCTGAGCTGAAACCCCGAGGCCCTCTGCCTTACGCCCCGTGTGGCGCATCACTGCTGTGCCGAAGGCCTGGCGGCTGCGTGCCGGCTCCCGGCCCCGGCCCCGCCCCGCGGCGGTCACTCACAGATGTAGTAGTACTCGTGGCCGGCGTGAAACTCGTAGCCCAGCGAGAAGGCGCTGTAGCGCTGGAACTTTTCCGAGAACTTGATGGGGCTGTGGGGCGCGTGCGGCCGGTTGCACTCCCAGCGCTTGAAGCCCTGGCTGGCGTTGCAGGTGCGGTAGCCGGCGCGGCTCACCATGTACAGCACGTACTGCTCCGCCCCGCCGCCGGGCCCCGAACTGTTGTAGTGCGGGCAGTAAATGTCCAGATAGTCGTTCACGTTCACCTGCACCGTGTAGCCCTCTCGCCGCAGGCTGCGGGGACGAACAGCGGGTCAGAGAGAAGACCCCACGCCGACCTGCACTCCACTTCACCGCTCCACACACCATCCCCAGGGTCCTCGAGTTTCCCGGCTCTCCTTCTGAGCATCCTCTCGTCTCTGTCCCTGTCGGTCCCCAGGACCCTAGCGCCGCTAATCCCTGAGCTAGGCTTCCTGAGAGTTCCACGTTCTGTCCTCCTGGTGTCCACCAGAGGGCAGCAAAGGCGCAGGGAAGCCCAGCCGACCTCCAAGGAAAAGAGGCGGGGAGAAAGGTGGAGGGAAGTAGGGAACATACGCTTCGGTTACCACAGAAACGGCGCAGGCCTCTGCGACTCCCAGACCCAGGCCCGGATTTCCTCCGTCCATCCCCCATAATTCACCAGCGGGGCCAGGGGATTGAGGCAGGGAAGGAAAGAGTGAAAGTGGAGGGGATCCCTTAGGATAGATAAGTACCCTCCGTAGCCTCTCCTTGCATGCTTTCCTGTGGTTGCCAGTCCAACCCCAAGTCCAGTCCACAGGACCTCAACAAGCATGTATGGAGGCTCCATGCATATACATGCATAGTTATAGGGCATACACACAAATATGTCCACTACCCACTCATAGGCGGCAGACACACAGAAACGTCTGGTTGTATGTGTGCTGGACTTGTATACTGGTATTGGTTGACCTCTACAACCTCAAGCTCTCTCCCTGCTCTGCCCCACCCACCCGCCCACCCACACACACTAGTACATGCTCCCTCTACAGAATCACTGGTTTCTGTGCCTTGAGTCTCACTGACCTCCACGCTGAGGCCAGGGGCAATTAGGTCCCCAATGTGCACAACATATCAGGGAGCTAAGAGACTCAATATCAAGGCTCCGCATGGCCAACCAGCCAAAACTTCTATATCTATATATAGATATATAGATATATCTCCTCAACCTGGGCACCACTGCCCCTTTAGGATGCTAGGAAGAGCAGTGGACATAGTGCCCAGACAAGAGGCTGTGCCTCTTACCTGAATCTCCTATGGGACAGAGAAGCAGATGCTGGGTAACCACCCCCTGCCTTACTAGTCATCATCAAAGCTCTGGTTTTACCACTGTCCATGGCGGTGCTGAATGATATGGGGGTGAGAGGAACATCTGAATGGAGAAGGAAACTCAGAGAAATAGGAGTTTCTCCTCAGTTCCTTAGGGTAGGAATGCACACATCTTGGCAGTGAGAGGAAGAGAGGTGGACACAGGAAGGCATGGGATACTTGGCAGAATGTCAAACCACTGGGGGCTCTGAGAACTCCCTGTGGGGAGGAACTGTCTCACCACCGTCACCAGGCATCTCCCAGTTCCACAAACTGTAATTAGATCTCTAGGAAAAGTAGTTTGGAGGCCTCTGCATGGGGTGGGGCCTTGAGGGTCCCTCTTCACCTTACCCTACTTCTTTGGTCTTGCCTGTGCTGCCCCTTCCCCCAAACATTCCCTTCCAAGCTTGGCCCCAAGGCAGATGAGCGAGCACTCGTGCTCAGGAACCTCGGGAAGAGCGGGCACAGCTTCCTTGAGTCATCAGGAATGCTACTAGCCCCACTCGGTTCCCACGGGAGTGATGGGTCATTCCGGCCACTCCCTGGCTCTGGCACTCAGGTGGGCAGGAGTCTCGGCCTGGGGCACTGGGAGCAGGAGAACGGGTTAGACCAGGCCTAACCTCAGGTGCCACCCCAGGTTTGCCTTTCTATCCCCAACCCCAAAGTTTACTGTTCTTCCCCCACAGGTTTTGAGGAGGAGGCCGCCAGTGGTAGGGGGCCAGATCTGGAACAGCTGCATAGCCACACTGGGGCCTCTGTCCTTGAGCCTCACCCAGGTTCCCAGCCCTGCTCTGATGTGGCCCCTCCCTGGGGACACTGCCCAGTTCCCCTTACAACACATCTCATACCAGCAAGGAGTAAGCCAAAGCCAGACCTATTCCTACAGGTACCTCAGTTTCCCCAATGGGATGGGGACCAGCCTTATATAAAGGTCGCTGGGTGACCACAAATGAAGGGAAGCAATCTCTTATCTATCCTGGAGCTGGGTGGCAGGAATAGCCCCTGAAAAGACCCCCAAAGCTGGGCACGTGGGAGAAAAAGGTCTGCTTGTAGAATGAGTAGCTGTGCCCAGCTGGAGTCGGTGGACTGGGTGCCAGGAATCACCAGCCACACGGCTAGAAATCCTGAGGTGTTTGCTTGGCTTGGGTACTTTCATTAAATTTGTCATCCTCCCTGTCTTGACAGTGAAGAGGAAGGTGACTGCTAGGCCGAGTGAAGCTCGCTGCTAACCCCTCCTCCAGGGCTGTACCTCGCCACCTTAAAGCCACACCCCCAGCGGGCGGGCATGGGGCGGGGTGGGGGGTGGGGGTGGGGAGGGTGGGGTGGGTAGGGGGGTGGGGGCAGCTGGGATCTGGGGACTAGGCTGTACCTGCCCCTTCAAACAGCTCTCTATTCCTCGTCACATCATCCCCTGCTGGCCTTCCACCTCTCTCAAAGAAAGGCGAGTGCCAACTCAGCCCACCTTGGGGGGTGGCCCCTCACTGTTATTTCCTCTCTCCTGACTCTCACCGCCTTCATCTTGGGTGCGCATTCCGACCCCTACCTTCCTCTTCTTCAGTGCTGTCTGCTAGAGCCTGGTGGGTGGGTGGGCAGAGAGCGTGGGAAGACACAAACCTCTCCCCCCACCCCTGGGGCAATCAGCAGCTGGCAAACAGGGCGTCTAAACGACCAGGGAGTAGAGGATCCTAAGGGGCTCTGGGTCTGTCATCCCTGCCACCACCTCTAGACGTGGGAATGCAGAACTAAGCAAGTGGAGGAGGGATGTGAAGACACTGGCCGTATCTCATCCTCTACAGCGCTCGCTCCCGAGGCCGCTTGCTCCTGCAGGCGAGGCTCAACCACGTGCACGAAGCGGGGGCACCCCTCTCCGGGCTGGGGGTGGGTGGGTGGATGGCGGGGACGCTCCCCGGGCAGCTGGTGCACACCGACAACCTCCGCAGCCCTCCGCCGCGCTGGGCCTCGGCATTCCGCCCCGACGGTCCGGCCATACCGGGAACCCAAGCCTCACTTGCTGGCGTCGGTGGGAGAGAATTAGCACACCCCACATCCCCGCCCCTCCTCCCTGCGACAGCAGCGGCGGCGAAGGTTTATTGATCTGCAGCGGCGGAGAAGCGCGAGAGCCCCGCCGAGCCCCGCCGAAAGCGAGACACACAGAAACCGAGTGAGAGCGAGACGCACACCGAGAAGGGAGACGAATAGAGACCGGATCCACTGAGATACCCGGGCGAGGGAGTGAGGCACAGAGAAAGAAAGGGATCCCAAAACCAAGAGAAAAAGGGAAGGGAGTGAAAACCGAGAGACTTGGAGAAAAGGAGATGTAGAGGCCGGTCCAGAGAGGTGTACACATACTAGAGACGGAGGCGGCAAGATGCAAAGGTTACCAGGGGCAGGGGCGTAAGGTACACCTGGTGACGAGGAGAAGAGACCCACGTGGAAGTAGTAAAGCCTCAATAAATATTTGTTAAAGAATGTATGAATGAAAGATCAGCTGAAACATGAAGGATCAGCTGAAACATTTCAGAGATAAAGAGACAGGTAGGGAGACAGCTAGAGAAAGATGTTCCTGAGGCTTCTTCAGTAGGGGCAGATACCAACACGTCTGCTCGGTACAGTCGGGAAATGAAGCACAGGCCAGGGCGCATATATTTGGCCGTCGGCCGGCCCCCTTCCCCAGTTAATTCCTGGCTCAGGAGGCCTGACCCCCTCCACCTCACACTCTTAAGGCTTCTTTCCAGTATGGTCCTCCCGGCCCTAGTTTCCGGGCTAGGTGGGAACAGGTCTCGCCTCTTCCAGGGGACCAAACAGAGGAGCTGAACGGGGGCAGGGGGCCAGACCGCAACCTCGAGCAGGGCACGGCCCCCAGGTCTGTCAAGGAAGGCCGCCGCACGTGTCCCACCGGCACCCTCCCACGTGACCCCCAAGAGGAGGGGTCCCAAGGCCCTCTCCACGTGACCCCAAGGGGCAGAGACCCTCCGCACGTGACTGGGGGTGGGCGCCAGTAGCCCAGCTCACGTGACTGGGAAGAGGGGCGCGGGAGCCTGTGGCTCGGCCCGGCCCCGCCCCCAGCTCCCTGGCCCTCTCCACTCCCGGCTACGGAGCACGTCGCTCTCACGATTTATGGGGCCGCGGCTGCCGCAGTGAGGGAGCCGGGGAGCCCGGGCGCAGCGGCAACAAAGGCTGAGGATGTGACGCGGGGGCGGCGGCGGCGGCCTCCCGGCCCGGTGCGCACCCCCTCCCACCCCCGCCGGTCCAGAGCAGAGTACAGCGGGAAAGACTGAAAGGAGGCTTTCCCCATCCCCTCCCTGGGCTTTCACCTGCACCCAGGTGTATGCGGGGGAGGGGAACCTGGTCAACAACATCCCCCCCACCTCCACCCCTCCGGCCATTCCCACTTCCCTCTGGCTCCGGCTTCTGCTAAGAACCCTGGGGTGCTCCGAGGGTGGTGGGGAGCCCTGGCCCCTCACCTGCGCGCTCTCCACTCCCGGTCAGACTCTAGCGGGGCAGGAGGCGAACGTGTTAGTCTGGGGGAGGGGGGCGAGCTAGGTAGAGCAGGCGAGTCAGCCTCTAGCACCCTCGAGTTCTTCGAGTCCCACTCCGGGGAGGAGGGGCCGCATCCCCACCCAGAGGTTTCCATGGGAAGGGAGAAGGGGGCGTCGTTGGCTCTTCCCCACCCCCAGTCTGACACTCCGGGCGCGAGGAGGGAGAGAGGGGGAGGCGCGGAGCCCCAAACAACAAAGAGCTGAGCGGTGAGCGGCAGCCCCTCCCCCGGGAGGTTGGGGGTCGCAGCCGCCGGGCCTCCCGATCCCCTCCCCTGGGGCCTCGCCATTGCTCCCGAATCGCCTCCCGGCTGGGGAGTCAGAGGCTGTGCGGCCGCCGCCGCCGCCTTGGCAGGTGTGACAGTGACCCCCACATCCCCAGGGATGCCCCCCAACACACAGACACACACAGAGATGGCCGGGGTGATCCACAGAGCGGCTCGCCCGGCAGGAGAAGACAAGGGCAGCAAGGACTGAGCAGAATGAGAACCTGGCCCTGCACCCGGCACCCAGCCGCCGTGCTACACACCCGGGAAACCACAGGGCCGCCCTGACACCCGCCCAGACCGCGGCGGCGCCGACAGCCACCCGAGCCCAGACGCGGCCGGCCACGCGGACAACGACCGCAGCCCCCTCCCCGACCCCGCTCCCATTCTCAGACGATCGCCAACGCAGACACACAAATCACACACCCAAACACGCACACTGACAGCCGCGCACGCCCGCTCACACTTAGAGCCACACACCGTCCCCAGCCCGGGTGTGTGTGCGCGCGCGGCCGCGCCTGTGTGACAAGCCGACATCTCCCTGCTTCCTTCCCTTTCACAGCACCCCACGTCCTCATTCTCACCAAGCAACACCTTCAGGGTCCCCCGTGTCTCGGCGACCCAGCTCCAGCTCACCTCAGCCGGGCTTATCCACACAAGCAAGGCAACACCTTCGCCCTCTTTCTGAGGAGGCGCTCAGTGGGACTCCCTGCCTCAGCTGTGAACCCCACTTTTAAAAAATTATATATATATATATATATATTTAAGAAAGAGAGGGAGAGAGATTCGTTCCATTTATTTATGCATTCGTTGGTCGCTTCTTGTATGTGCCCTGCCCCAGGATCGAACCTGCAACCTTGGCGTATGGGAATGACGCTCTAACCAACTGAGCAACCCAGCCAGGGCCGGATCAGCTTTTAAAAGCAGGAGTCCAAGACAGAGACTCTTGAAACCCTCACCACTGAAAACAGGTCATCCCTGCCCCCTCTCCCCAAGTATGGGCGGCCTACCCCTAGCACACTGGTACTCCCGAACCCCAGCCCAGGGAAGGGGGTGAAGATGGGGGCACTGTGCAATGGGGGTACGCAGTGTGGAGAAGAGCCAAGGTGGGGTGGGGAGGTCCCTGAGCAGCCTCCTCCGAACGGCCAAGGCCTCCTTACTATACCTCAATAGCCTCTTTCAGACAACCCCCACCCCAGTTTCATGGACGCCTATAGAGTGTCTCCCTCTCCCTTGCCTCCCAGCACCCAGCTGTGCTCTCTCAGGACTCCCATCCCAGGTTCCCCCAGGACTTCCCGGGCCCACCAGCTCGCCCTTCACTGACGCGGGATGCACGAGCTCCCCGGGCGCCCCCGACTCACTGCTGGTTGGAGCTGTTCCAGTACACCGTATGCCGGTTTCCCAGCGCCCCCCCGGGCCCCTGGGCCAGCAGCGGCAGCAGCGGCACCGGCACGAGCAGCAGCAGCAGCAGCAGCAGCGGAGCCGCCGCCATCCCCGGAGGAGCCGCCGCCGCCGCCGCCGCCACCGCCCCCCGACTGAGCCGCGAGCTCCCGGCTTCTCGCTTCCCAGCTCCCTGCTGCCTCCGCCGCCAGCCCCCGAGTCTTAGGCCACGCCCCCAGCCAGTCTCTCCGCCCTCCCGGGCGCGCTCCCGAAGCCCCGCCCTTAGCGCGCTCCCGCTAGGCCCCGCCCCGCTTGGGTTTGGAGCGCGCCGCCCGTGGGAGGTTGGAGCTGTGCTACCCGCTCCAGAACAACCCGTGTGCTCCCCGCCTTTCCCTCCTAGGTGTAATTTGCTCCCCCAGTCCTGGGCTTTCTGCTCCCCAGTCTGGAGTTTCCAGGAGGGTTTGGGAGATCAAGACAGGGATGTCGATCTCCAGTGAGAACCTTCATTTCTGGGATGGAGTGGATACTTGAAGCTGGGGCTCCAGGACCTCTTAATCAATAGAGCTAGACCCCACTCGTTTTCGAAAGGTCGGGCCCTCTGCTCCCTTCATGCTCCTCTTCCCATGTGGATGAAGAGTCAGGAGGATTCTAGAGGGTGTGGAGAAGCCCTCAGCCGGCACCAAGACCTGACAGCTGTTGACCTGAAGCCCCCACCTGAGCATGAGTCTCCTTTGTCTTGGAGGTGCGGTAGAGGAGCTCAGCCGCCAACAATGGCAATACTGAGTGCTGGAAGGGACTTTGGCAGTTCAGGGCCCAAGGTGGAGGGGGGACAAGGCTTTTCTGGGACACGTGCAAAAGATTTCTCACACTATAGCAGGGCCCCCTCTCCCAGTGCAGCGGGTGGTGTCCTCAGGCATTCTCACTCCTACTGTCATCTACACTGACAAGAGGGCAGAGGAGCAGATCACCCTGTGTTCCAGCTCTCACCACAATCATTGTCCTCACAATGACACCCAAGTATAGACGTTACACACACACATTTAGGAGAAAAAGCAGACACCAAGAGGTTGACCACAACATATAGACACACAGATACCCCTTTGCGCGTGCGCATACACACAGACAGACACAGGCACAGACAGGTAAAGGTAATATTGGACAACTAGAGAGCTGTTGAAACACAGGCATTTAGATACACAGAGACAGAAGCGCATACACACAGACACATGCACACACATGACCCATACACAGGCCCACATGCACTCTTTTATCCTAGGAAGTAGAAGGTGAGGGAAAAGCTCTACAATTCAGACATAGGGGGTGTTTGCCCCTAATCTCTTCTCTTTTGGAGAGGCTCAGACTGAATGACCAGGAGGACAGGGTCTCAGACCAGGTTCTCAGAACTCAAGCGAACCACCTGTGCCCATGGGAACAAGCATGATGTTTTTTCTTCTTTACTGAAGGAGAGAGAATGTACAGGCACTCGTCATCTATTTATCCTTGACAGGACAGAAGTCCTGGCCACAAGTCCACTTTTGGTGCTGGGTTTGGGGGAGGGGCAGTGTCATCTCAGAACAGGCCCTGTGTCTAGCTGCTGCCAGGCAAGAGCAGGCTCTGTCCTCCCCAAGAGATATCCTCTCCCTCTTCAGGAGCCAGAAAATAAATTAGGCCCCTTGGGGTGGGAAGGGGGACTTTGCAAACAGTTCTCTCTCCCCTAAGACTCCTGATCCCCAGAGAGGTTTGTTTCACCCAAATGATGCTAACCTGCCTACTCCAGGTGCCACAAATCCCAGCCGCCTCCCTGCCACCCACACTCCCTGCTCTGCAAAGGGAGGCTTCTCTCTGTGGGGCTCACAGTTGGCAGAGAGGCTGTCCACATTCACACGGAGAGCTTGCTGGTTTAGGACTTTAGAGTCCATTTTAGAAGCCTTAAATCCCTGTTTGTGGAATCTGGATCCCACTTTTGGATGTGGGCCCTTTTCTATAGGGCCCAGATCCTCCTCTTTAGAAACTAGAGCTCTTACACCCACCCTCCAGTAATAACTGAGCCTTCCTCTCTAGAATCTGGAGCCCTTATAATAAGATTTAAACAGCTCTTTGTATGGGGTCTAAGCCTCTGGGTTTAGATATGCTCTCTATAGGACCCAGGCCTCTGTCTATAGGATCTGGTGCTTTGCCTACCTGGGCATCTATCCAAATCAGCTGCTGTCTGATTTGGCCTTTTGTGTAAATTAGAAGGAGCACCCTTCTATGCAGACCCAGTCCTCAGAGTGCATCTCTTGGCAAGTGGTGCCTGTGTGCAAAAACGAAGGTGCTACTTCCTTCAGCAAACGGTGCCCTATCTTAGTGAGGGAGCTTGAGCCAATGTCAGCTTTGACTTACCCCTGAAGGTGGCTTCTTTGTGCCAAGTACAAACTGCACAACTATATGCGTCAGCTCTGACTGTAGGACATGTACTTCCAGCTATAATGCCTAGGCCTGTCTATAGGCCTCTACTCATGGGGTTTGGGCTTCTCTAGAGATTGGTTCTCTGTGTATAAGATCTGGGCCACCGTCTAAATACCTGGGACCTGACCTGACGTAGGCCCCTTCCTGTGGCATCTGAGTCACGGAAGCATCAAGCTTCCTTCAGTTGGGGTATAGGCTTCTGTTTATAACTGTGACTCCAATCTTTCCTGACTGTGACCCACCACAATGAGATGTATATTTTGCATTTGCAATGCAGTAAACACACACACATACACAAACACAAGCCTTCACAAATAACCTAAACAATAATTTTAATGAAACAATACTTACCTTCACTGCAGAGGATACACTCTGATATTTTCCTTCTGTTCTATTCTTTAAAATATTTTTAAAATAAAATAAAAACCTGGTTGAAATCCATAAAATTTATTTCTTGATTTCACTACCCCCAATGGGTAACAAGTTATAGTTTGAAACACTGGTGCCTAAGGCCTGGGCCCTCATCAACACCTCTCTGTAGGGTGGGGGCCTCTGCTGAGCCTAGAGTTCTCTCCATGGGCTAGTCTTCTCTCTCTCTAGGGTCTCAGGCCTCTTGCTCCTCTCCTGCAGGCCTTTGCCTCCGTTTCTCTCTGACCCTAAGGCTTGCCAGTACACTGCTGGCTGCCATGTTCTCTCCAGGGGCACTGAGCTCAGACTCCTGGGAGCTCTCTGAGCATGGTGCCTCACTGGTCTTCCCCTGGGGCCACGGAAGCAGGGAGCTGAACGGGTCAGGGGCAGAAGGAGTGCTCAGGCTGTGTGGCCCAAGGTCACTTCCAGTCCATCGGGTGGCAATCAGAGAGCTGAGCTGTGTTCAATAAATCACAGAGACTAGAGCATAGAGGACAGGGAGGCCAGGAAGCAAGAGGGGGCATGAATAAACTATTCTTCAAAACAATAAACAAGGAGCCCATGAGAGGGAGGATGAGACATGTGCGTGAGTGGGAGAAGCAGCTGCCAGCTCCAGACATAAAATATTCACAGGTTCTGCACCTTGCACAGGGCCCATGTGTGTGCCCCAGAGCAGGCAGGTGGTTGATGTGGTCCTAACATAGAGACCTGGGTGCTAACAAGGAGGGCAATGCATGAGTTCTCTGACTTCCAAGTGTGTGTGTCAGCATGGCTACATAGTGCTCTGACGTCCATGAGTTGACATGGAACTACACACATGACAGACAGCAGGGAACACAGTGCTCTGATGTGTGGTCCAGGGCCAGAGAATGGAGCTTGGTAGGTGGGGTCAGGGTGTAATAACCTCTGATACTAGTCATGCTGTGATCCCTCTAATGAGCCCGGCAACCTGAGAAGCCTGAATCTGGGAGGCATCTCTGGGGTGTTACACTGGAGGCGCGTGTGACTCCTCTGAGTGCGCTTCAGGAAAAGCTGAAAGGGAGGCAGTCTGGCTTAGCAGTTAACAGGATGAGCTTGGGTTTGAATTCCAGTTCTACCACTCATCGTCTGTGCTAGTCACTTTACTCCTCTGAGACTACAAACTGGGGCTAATCGTACCTTACCTGAAGGAGGTGGTTGCTGTGGGGATTAAGAGTCCTGTCTGGGAAGCACTTGCACAGCATTTAGGACCTGTGGAGTGTTCGGTTAATGGAGGCCTCCTTGTCAGTATTGCGAAGAGGTTATCTCCTGATGACCAGCCATCTAGACTAGCCCCAGACTCTTTTTTCCATTTGTTCTCCCCCATCTCCAAGCTTCTCTAATAGCTATCATAATGGGAGAGGTGGCCTAGGGCTTGAGGAGTAGGGATGGATGGAAAAAGATTAGAATCAGGGAGAGGAAATGTAACAGCAAAAAGCAAATCAATAAATTAAGGAGGTCCCCGTCCTTGACAGTGTGGAAGAAGGGCTCCTTGACACCTACAATTCTACCTTAATCCAGGCTCTCTTCTCTTTCCTGCCACCAAAATTTAGCTTCCTAACAAGTAGCTGCAAGGAGACAGAGGGAATTCAGGTAGAGGTCTCAGAGTACAGTGCTCTTCATGATCTCCTTGTCCTCCTTCCCACCCCCCATGCCTGTTCTCACTGCCAGAGCTCTGGCCCCCGCCCTCTGCCTATAGCGGCCAAGGGGTTCCCTAGCAAAGATGGCTATGTCTGGGCAAAACCCAGAGAGATGGCACCTCAGAGTGGGTGGGGAGAGTCCAGGCTGAAGAGAGCCAGAGAAAGCCAGGGTGGAGGACCTGGGGCCTCCCAGTAGGCCCCAGCATTCCCCAGCCCTCTCATGTCCCCTGGAAAGGATCTGCTCCCTGAGGGAGAAAACAGTAGACAGGTCTGAGCTGGCCTGCTCCTCTGCACACAGAAGAACAGGCTCGGGAGGGGGCCTGAGATCATGGTGGGGAGTGGTGGCTGTAACCCTGTGGTTCCTCCAGGGAGCTAGGGGCAGAGGGACTGCTGCCTAGACACACCCTGCTATAGCCTGCGGCCCATCCCTTAGCCTCCTCTAGCCAGTCTGCTGCCACTTGGAGAGCCAAGTGTCTGGGTCCCCAGCTGTGAACATGGTGCCTGCCCACCCCTTCTCAAAGAGCCAGCATAAGTTCTCCACTTCCCCTCCCCTGGGCTGGGCAGGTTTGGGCTAATCTGCGCAAGAGCTTCACAGCAAACATTGATCTGTAATAAAACCACAACATGCATTCAAGAGAAAGGATTCCAGACGCAGTGAGATCCAGAGAACATACAGACACACTCACATACATATATACAGAGCAAAACACACAGTTCTGGGAGGGCAGACACAGACATGAACAGTCCTGAAAACACAGCTAAGCACGGACCCACGCTGAGGCAGAATCATATCCCCTCCCTACCATAAACTTTGTCCTTCAAAACCCAAGCTGCCTCTGACAGCCCATTTCCCTGCGTTCCCATAGCACTTTGTACATAGCTCTATAATAGATTTGCACTTGACATTATAATTATTTCTTGGCCAGTTTGTCTTCTCAAGTAATCTGAATATTTCTTTCAAAAATTGTTTATTTACTTATTTAGAGAGAGGGGAGGGGCGAGGACAGAGAGGGAGAGAAACATCAATGTGTGAGAGATTCATCCGTAGGATGCCCAACTGGGGACCCGGCCGAGGCAGGTGCCCTGACTGGGAATTGAACCAGCAACTTTTCCGTTCACAGTTCAGCGCTCAGTCCATTGAACCATACTGGCCCTGGGTTGAAGATTTCTTAAGGGAAGGGGTCTTGTCTTGTGCAAGTGTTATCCCCAGTATCTAGCATGCAGCTTGGTATTTAGTTAGTAGGAGCAGGTGAGGTGCTTAATAATTGTTGAATTGACAAACAAAAAATAAATACATTCAGACAGTGGGAACCCCCTCCCCAGAACCCCTCAGAAGCACACAGAGGATACCAAGTCCATGCTACTCATGTCTCTGGCCCTACCTTCTTGTCTCTTGGTCCCCTGATTTTACTGCCTCTCAGCTTCCTCAAAGGCCCTTCTTTCTCTCCACTGAGTGTGAGACCATGAATTTGAGTTCCACCTGAGGACTGGCAGGCAAGGTAAGGGTTAATGACACCTCATTAAGGTTTAATTGGAGGAAGGAAGCTGCCCTGGCACCAGACCGGTGGGCAGGCCTGCCCCTGGCTTCAGGCAGGCACCTCCTGTTCCAGCACCCTGCCAGGTGTGTGCATGATTTGGCCCTGGAGATCTTCAACCCAGCCGGGGGAGGGGAGGGGGGCCCTCCCCCCACCCTTTGCTTTGCCAATTTAGTCTCTAGGCAGTGCAGACCAGTTCTCCCCATCTGTCACCAAACATTCAGAGGGGGAGGCAGACTTCTTGTCCTTTCTCCTTTAACTAGGCTGTGCCCCCTCCCACTTCAGGAGATGCTGGAGGCTGGGAAGAGGAGTGTGATAAGGAACTGGATGACTGATTACTCTAAGGGATAGACGCTCGATATAGACAGCGACAGGGCTATAGAGCGACAGAGCTGGGGATGTGGAGATGTCTGCCCAATTTGACCTTAAATGAAGAGAATGCAAATGAGATGCAGACGGTATGCAGATGAACACCAGGATCTCATAATTAACATTCCTGGTGGCAGCAGCTCCGCACCCAGGACCCCAATGCTGTTGCCAGTACTGCCCTCCTAACCTTCCTGGGTTGAGTGGCACTAACCATTAGAAGGGTCTCCCTCAAGATGAGAAAGATAATAGCTTAGGCCCTGGCCGGGTAGCTCAGTTGGTTAGAGCGTCCTCCCTATAGGCCAAGGTTGTGGGTTTGATTTCTGGTAGGGCACATACAAGAAGCAACCAATTAATGCACAACCAAGTGGAACAACAAGTAAGTATTTCTCTCTCTCTGGTCCTTTCTCTGTCTCTCTAAAATCAATTTAAAAAGACAAAGATAGAGCGCTAAGAATTTGGTCGGGCTAGGGCAGGACTTGGGGAGCTGGACACCCCAGTCTCCCCGCCCCCACCCCAGGCACCACCCCAAGCTGCCACCGGAGCTCAAACTCTCCAGGTTCGTCTGGACTCACCGTCGGTTGCTATGGGGACCCCTCCCACATCCAGACCTGAACCAATAGGCATTACCTCTGATGACCTCATGCCCCAGGCCCCCGAATTCTATTGGCTATTTGGAAGCCAGAGTGCCCTTCTACAGCTGCATCACAGCTGGGGATCCCCTCCTCCCCCAGACGACCACAGCCGAGGTGGCCGATAGAAAGAAGGGCGTGCTGGGAGCTCACAATTTGATGAGTGAATGAATGAAGAAAGGAAGGAAGGGCTTTACAAAGGAGAAGGAAAAAGGGACTGGTCCCAGTAAGACCAAAACTTCAGGGTTTAAACCTCTAGGGAGAGAGGGAGATTTGTAATCCCAGAAAATGTGGAGCGGGATCTGTTAGCAGAGACTCGGGCTCTCAGGCTCTCGGGACAGAGACAGAGTGAGGCAAAGATGAGGGATAGTTTTTGCATCTGTTTGGGAGACAAGGGCATGCCCAGCAAATTGGGAGCCCCACCCTCGGCCGTCTAAGTTTAGGGGAGATGGGTGACGCCCCAAAACTTGCAGACCTGCCCAAGCCTCCTGGAACTGCGCCCCGGAACACGCCTGGAGGGTTTCTCATGGGTAGGTACCGCAAGACCGCCCTGCGCCTTCAGCCTGTCTCGGCCCCAGGAGCAGACTTGGCTCTCGCTTTCCATGGGGACAAGCCCCAAGACCTAATCAGGGCAGAGGCTGAGAGGAAAGCGAGGGTAGGGAGGGCTGGCCAGGTTTGAGGTTTGCGGCAGACTGGCCAGAGTTTGCGACCGCCCCCTGCAAGTGTGCGACTGCCTAGGCGTCCGTCCTCGCACCTGCGGGAAGCTGAGCGGCCCGCGGGGGCGTGTGTCTGTGTCGTGTGCGACCGAGAGGGAGGGCGTTTGTAGGAGTGCAGACAAAGCCCACTGCGCCCGGGTCTCTCGGGTCCTTATCTCGGCGGATCGGCTCGCCGGCCCGATTCCGGAGCGAGCGCACCTGGCTTGTTCCTCCAAGAGGGTGTCTCCGGGACAGCTGGAAGCAGAGAGAGACCGCCCACAGTTTTCGGTGCAGGGCAGGGGCTACTAACCAGTTGCCCCCAGCCTGCCCCGCCTAAGGTTTCCCTGGAGACGGGTGGAGGTAGCAGTACAGTCGGATTCCATGGCGACAAAATAGACGTTCGTCCCGGATGGCAGTAGAGACGTTACTCGAACCCAGGACCAGAAGACCAAGCCCATAGCTCATTCTTCAGCTCAGATTCCACACCCTCCTCACTCCAGCCCTTACCTTCCACCCGCTAAAGACAGTTTGGGGTGAGGGCCCTGACACATGCAAATGCAGGCACACGCACCTACAGATACATTTTCTGAAAGTGGCCTCATAGGGAGGAAGGGGTTGACTTGTGTCTGCTCCGCCTGCGCTGCAGTCCTCCATCCCAGGCCTCAGCCAGAGCAGTGGAATTTACCGAGAGAGACCTGGCTATGACCTAGGAGCAGGAGGGGGTGGGAGAGGGCTTAGAAATCCCCAGCATTTCAGTCTGTCAGTCTCCAGCCACCCAGCACCCGCCCCTCCGGGTGTTCACAGGCCGCCTCTCGCCGCAGCCGCGGAGCTAATCAGCACAACATCCACCTATCGATCGTTGGCTTGGTGCCAGGCTGGCCGACGCTGTGCCCGTGGAGGCTGCGGGGCACCGGGGCGGTAGAGCAAGGCTTCGAGGGAAGGGGAGCCTTCAGCTCCATCCAGGACATCATTCAGAGAGAGCCCGGTTGGGCTTGGGGAGACCACAGCCATTTCTGCCACAGGTGGGAGAGACAGTGCAGGCCCAGAGCAAAGGGGGCCCTCCCTCCTTCCCCCATTCCCACCCTCCTTATAAAAGCAAAGAACAAAGAGGCTGCTGGGGAAGGAGGCTTTGATCTGACCCCACCTTCCTGCTTCTAGGCCAGGCACCGCCCAGACTGCCCTTGGAAGGGGGAGAGACGCCCAGCTCTCCGGGACCCAGGCATCCTGAAACCCAGGTGCTGTCTTTCTAGTAGCCTTGCCTGTGCTACCACAGTTTGGGCAGTGCCCCAAATGGGTGGGCTGTCAAGAGCATCTGCCCCCTCCTCAGCACAGGAAGCCAGCTAGGGAGGTGGGGAAGGGTGCCAAGCTCCACAGCTGCTGCTGGCACCCACCCCACACTGGCCAGAGGGGTGCCCACTGAGGCCTGGCATGGATGGCCTGGGCACAGCTATCATGGAGGTCAGGCCAAGCCAAGCTGAGAGCAGAGGCCGCAAGGAGTCCTGGTATCAGGGAAGGAGCCAGAGGTTGAGGAGAGCAACAAAAAAGATGGGTGGTTTATTGAAGGTTTGGTCCAGACACTTACAAAAATACAAATTGATATGAAATTCAGCCTCATGGCAAGTATCTGTCTTCACAGAAGACAAGTGAGTGACCCCCTGGGAGGGAAAGGTGCTGTCCCAGGGAAGGGGCCCACAGGGCACTGGGCACAGGTGGCAGGTCTGTGCTGCTTCCTTGCCCTGGTCCTGCAATCCACCTGCCCCAGGTTTTCAGCCTTGGCCCCCAGCAGGCTCAAGGATTCAATCCCATCAAATTCCAGTCTTCCTGGGAGATGCGATAAGGCCATCAAAGCAGCTGTTGAAGACTCTGTTTATCTTGCCTTGGCGTTAGATGCCCAGGGCTGTCTGCAGCTCCCTGTAGTTCCTCTTCAGCCTGGGATAAGGGGGCCAGCACCTGCAAGGGTCACCTCAGACCAGCTGACTTCCCCCATCACTCCTCCGTCTTGTCTGTCTGGCTTGGCACTCCCAGCTCTGGTGGCAGGGGCTCCTCCTCCAGGGTGTCTTGGGAGGGCTCTGGTTCCTGGGGTGGCAGGAAGGGTCCACTTGGCTCAGAGAACTCGCAGGAGACGAAGAATTGGAAGCAGCAGCAGCAGCAAGAGACAGAGGGGGCTGGGAGTGCCCCCGCCTTGCCACCCTGATGTGCCACTCTCTCCAGGGCTCCCAACAGGATGGGCTGACTCTGACTCTGTGAGGAGGAGGAGGAGGGGTAGCACCGATGTGTCCTCCATTTCAGCAGCCTCCTTTTGCTCTGCCCATTAGCCGCTCCAGCCTATTCTCCAGGGTCTCTCAAATCAGCCATTCCTTCCCATAATCTACTACCTCGTCCTCTCTAAGCCCCCACTTCCAAGTCTCCCCCAAACTGCCAATACACACCACTAGTTCAGCAAAGGCTTCGAGGGCCTTGACCCTGGAGATGCTGTTCTGATGGTCCTGCACACAGGCTTCAGTGTGAAGCTCCCACAGGCTCAATGGGGAGAAAAGAGGCCATAGCTTACAGCCCTGCCTGGATCCCTCTTAGTCTGACGCTCCCAGGCTCTCCCCACGCCTTCCCCCAGTCCCAAGAAGGGCCCCTAGCCAGAGGGTTGCTCCCTGTGCCCCAGCCCACTTACTGCTCTCCTTGCAGCAGACAGACACCTGGAGCCTCAAGCACTGGCCAGGACTCCCGGGAGTTGGCACCGCTGGGTGGTGGGAGGAAAAAGTTAGCACAGGCTGGTTTGCAGATTAATTTCAGACCCTCCCCGCTTCTCTTCTTTCTAGTTCCTTGGAAAGCTTTTCCTTCTTTCTGGGCCCCATCCAGGTGCCAGGCCCCATCCATGGCCCCTCCTCATCCCCCTCACCCCCTTTCCTAGGTCCTCTTCCTCCTCCTCTCGATAGACTCACTCTAGATGCCCCTTCCTCAGTCCCGGACTCCGGGCCTCTACAACCCCTCTCTCTGACCAAAGCCTCCCCCCGACCCCCCTGCCAGGTCTGGCCTCCATTCCCAGTCCCATCCTTCCCCCTCACCTCAGACTCTCTACCTGGACTGGTGGCAAAGCCAGGCACCCCATTCCTCTCCTCACCTCCCCCAAGGGGCAACCAGTGCGCCCTTCCTCACTCACAGATGTAGTAGTAGGTCTCTCCAGGCAAAAACTCGAAGCCAAGGGAGAAAGGTGTGAAGCGCTGAATCTTCTCTGAGAATTTAACAGGGCCAAAGGGAGCGAAGGGGAGGGAGCACTCCCAGCGCTTAAAGGCACCTGCCCCCTGTGCCTGGCAGGCCTCATAGCCCGACCAGTCCACCATGTATAAAGCAAATGTCTCAGGGCCCTCAGGGGGCCCTGGACCCTCATAGTGCGGGCAGAAGATGTCTAGGTAGTCGTTGAGGCCCAGCTCCACCACGGCGTCTCCTCGAAGCAGCCTGCAGGCACAAGGTAGTTGTGGGCTGGGGGGATCATGGCAGGGCGCGCTTGGGGCACACGGGTCAGAGAGACCGCATCCCCAGGGTCTCTGCCCACCTGTCCCCTGCCCTCTGGAGAGGGAACATCTCAGCAAGGCCTGAGGTCTTCAGACTGACAACCCTTGAGAGACAAAGAGAGCGCAAGGAACGGATGAGGCAACAGCTTTACAGGTTCAGAGAGGTTAAGGAATTGCCCATAACCACATGGCTCAAATGTGAGAAGGCCTCTCTCTACGCCCTGCCTTTTGCATTGGAGCTGCTACCGCTCTCTCTAGCCCCAGTGCCCACCCAGGGCCTGGCACAGCACCTGTGCTGGGCAACTGTTAGGTGAATGGCTGCTGTGAAGAAGCTGGGGCAGAGGCTGAGGGTAGAGACCTAGGCCCACAGCGCAGTCACTGATGCAGACATGGAGACTGGGAATTGCATCCCCCTTAAATGGTGCACAGAGAGACTACCCTTTAGACCTCAATCCAATGCTGAAAAGAATGTCGGCGAAGGAGTGGATGGTGGGTGCTTCCCCACCTTTTTTTTCCAGGACAAAGTGCCAGAAATGGAGGGGAGCCCTCTCTACATACCATCCAATCTTCAGCCTCCTCAGGACTCCCCCACCTCTTGGGAGCTGCCGTGGGGGGCAGGTACAGGTGGGAAGGACTGGGGCAGACTGCCCCCCACAGCATCAAATTCAGCAGGAACCACACTTGCCCCCTCTCTAACACACACACACACACACCCCCTCGCAGCTTGACTTAGGAAATGCCTCCAATTGTTCCTCAATGGGTGGTCCAAGGGGCACCAGTATCAGGAGTTCTGGTTAGAAATGCGTATTCTGGGGCTCAGTTCAGACCTACTGGAACACAAGAAAGGCCTTTGTATGTTTTCTTCCACTGCATCCTTAGTGCCTGGAAAAGTGTCCTGCACAAGGACAGAGCTCAATAAATATGTGCGGATTGAATGAATGAACCGGAAACCTCAGAGTTAGGGGCTAGAAACCTGAATTTTTAACAAGTCCTCCAAGTGATTCAGAGGCACTGGTCTGGAACAGAGAGAGGAATTCTGAGTTAGAAGACAACAATAGCTCTTATCAGATGGCATTGGTATTGTGATGACCTGTCCAGCCGCCTGGCCTGCCCTCCCCAGGGGGTCTTTGGGCTCCCAGAAGGCAGAGTCTAGGTTTCCTTATCTCTAATTTCCAGCACTCTAGTGCAGGTCCTAGTACACAGTATGCTTTTAATGTTAGTGGGTGAATAAATGCAGAGTCACAGGTTTTCTCAAGTAGAAAATCGGAAAGGAAAACAGACGGAGAAATTTAGAGAGAGGCAGGGGGAATTGGGGAGGGGGATGTAAACAGTTAGGAAGGTCAAAGACTTGGCCAAAGGTGACTGAGCTAGAAGGGCAGGGCCCAGACTGGAGACAAATAGAAGGAGATAATGACCGAGATGAAAACAGAGATGCCAAATGAGAGACAGGGACAGAGTGAATGCCAGAGGGGAGGCTGAGCAAGTAGGAGAGTAACTCATGCTCTTTACCAGGAGTAAAGCCCCCTTTCTCGCTCTGAAGTCTACCCGCCTCCCTCAAGCTGGAAGGGAGGCTGAGGGGAGGCTGAGGGTCACCAGAAGAGAAGAGAGGGGGGCGGGGCTCATTGTGGAGGCCAAGGCCCCTCAGCTCCCGGCTCTAAGACTCTACCTACCATACTTTGGGCTGAGGTCTTCTGAGCATCCCCCAACACGTGCGGGTTGTGGGGAGACCCGGGGCACGCCTCACCCCTCCCCCCTCCCCGCCGACTCAAACAAAGGAGCCCTGGCGTGCGGCCGGCGGGGTACCGGCAGCACGGAGCACGGAGCGAGAGTCACAGAGAGAGAGAGAGAGCTGGAGGGACGCGCGCCAAGCCCGGGAGTGCACAGGCCCCGCTGGCTCCTGGCCGAGTTCGGCCCGGCTACCTGGGGTTACTGGAGTTCCAGTAGAAGTCGTGACGGAGGCCAGAGCCCCCTTGCAGAGGGGAGCCGAGGAGCGCGACCCAGAGGACAGTCCGCAACAGGGGCAGCAGCCGCATCGCCCCCTCGGTTCAGTCTGGTCTGGTTCGGCCCGGCCCACTTCGCCGTGGCCGCGAGAAAGGTACAAAGTAGAGAAGAGAGGGTGCGGGGTAAGGGGGTGGGGTGCGGAAACTCACAGACCACGCCCCTGGATAACTTTTCACCAATAGGAGCGCGTCTCCGCCTCTCCACTCCAGCGCCAGCTCTCGTTAACCCCCTGTGAGCCTCTACCGGCGCCGGGTTAGCCAGGCTCCCACTGAGACTGCACAGGGTTGCGAGGGGGCGAGGGAGCGAGAGGGACGTATTCCACTATCCATGAGGGTTTTTTTAAGAGATTGTATTTTTTGTGTCTGCATTAGTACACGGTAGAAGGCTTTATGAGAAGTTTGGAAGATTTAAATAGGAGCACACGCCCTTTGCCCAGGAAGAGTAAAGTGAGGCCTGGGCAAGGATCCACGAAGCCTGTCCAGCCGCCTTAGGGCATCACTGTTTTCTTTGCGCATCTAGATAGAGATAGAGCTGGGGAAAGGGACAAACCGGCTCCTGGGACAACCCTCCTCTCCCCACTTCCCCTGCCCCCCACTGAGTCTTCAGTGGTGAGCTCGAAGCCCACCTTGGGGTTTGGCTCCTGTCCCTTTCTGCCCCACGCCTCCATTCTGGGCTGGGGGCCCACGCAGCGCCAGTCCTGAAGACGAAGTAATGAGGTGGTTGCGGCTTGTACAAAGCACCTTTGTTCCCGAGCCCTCAGGTGGGGGCGGGGGAGGAGGCAGGTGCCTGGCCTCGGGATCGTGGGAGCTGCTGCCGGGCTCCGCCCCGGCTCTGGGGCTCTGAGAACACCAGCCAGATCCACTTCTCCCAGCCACCAGTCAGAGGGTGGGGACGGCGGGCAAACAATTTGGCTGGTTTGTTGAATGGTCGCCCCTAGATGTTGGGGGCGAAGGCTGGGTGACTGGGGACGGCAAAGGGCGTAGGCGTGCAATTCCCTTTGGTACTGGATTGCACAGAACGCGATTCCAGGCTGGGCAGAAACAAGCCGCGAGCATCCGCGCATCCGGGGGACAGTAGCTGCTCCAGCCAGGGACTCTCGTTCTCCGTTCTGTCTTCGTCTGAGGCGGCAGCGTCTCCTGCCGGCCAGATGAGCTGTAGCAGGGACAACCCAACCTTCCCTGGGCCGACAAACGGAGGCACGATCCCAAGATCTTCCATTTATTACAACTGAGAAGAGAAACAGGCTGGGCACACCTCCCGCAGCCAGGTCCAGCGCCCAGCGCCCCCTAACCCCTAGCTGCAACTGTGTGGGCTGGTCCCAAGGATGATGCTCGACAGCTCGTGGAGGTGCCTTCAGATGCCTGCTCCTTCGCGTCCAGGCTCTGGCTCCTTCCATCATTGCCGGGTGTGTGTGTGGGTGTACTCCAGTAAATCTGTCCACGCCTCTTTAAGTCCTAAGTTGGGCTGGAGGCAGGCGGAACTTCAGGAGAGTTCAGAGGCAGAGGGAGGTCACGGCTGGTGGCAGTAGCACAGGCCTGGGGTGCCGGAAGCAGAGAATAAAAGGTCAAGTCGTAAGTCCTCTTTTCCCAGACCACTCGTCCTGTCCGCCCATTCTCAGTGACTCTTCTTGCCCACCTGGAGGGTACCCCTAGGGGCAGGTTTCCAGCTCCTGGACCAAGGCAGGTCACTTGAAGGGCACCGGCCCTGGGGGTCGGCAGGCAGTGGCTTCCTTGGGGGTGGGGGCTTGGCAGGCCCCTGAGACTGAGAGAGAGAGAAGGTAGGAGGCCAGCTTGGGAGAGGGTGTCATGTTGGCCACCCCAGATGCACTGGTGCTGGAACACCAGCTTGTGGAGGGGCAGCCCCAGAGGTCACCGTTTTTTCCAAACAAACCTGTCACCATTAGAGATGCCACCAGGGTATGTGCCCTCAAGCACAGAGGGGGCATCTCGCCATGGCCACCACCATCACAGCCCTGGGTGGCGGAAGAGGCTGTGACCTTCTCTCCCCAACTGTTACCTTTGGGTGCCTCACCGCCGGGTCAGCGGGCAGAGGGCGGGTGGGGGGATGGGGTCGGTCAGCCAGCTCAGCCTGAACAGAGAGAAGGGCAGTGACTGTGAGAGCACAGCGAGGGGCAGTGGGCATGCAGAGGTCCTCCCGAGGGGGTCAGGTCAACATGCAAAATCAGCCAGAGGACAGGAGAATGGGGACATGCGCACAGGGCTTGGGTGCATGCCAGCAGATGTCTGGGGGAGGAAGGAATGGGTCACTGTGGTGTCCCTGGCCCGCTGCAGTCCCGCCACTGACCACCAGATGGTGGTAGAAACCAAGGCAGGAGGCTCACCCTTTGCTGCTTCTGGGGCTCTTAGTGTCTGAAGGCTGAGGGGCACCCTGGTCCCCTAATGAAGAGCATCACTGGCAGGGAACAGGGATGAGAACTGCAGTTGGGTACCAAGCCTCCCGCCTGCCCTGGGCCAGGCCCAGATTTACCTGAAGTCTCCTGGACACAGGGTCAGGAGGCAGTGGCCTGGAAGGGGGAGTCAGGAAGCCAAGTGCACTAGCCTGCTGAGAGAGCAGGAGGAGCAAACAGGCACAGAGTGGGGTAGGGGGGGAAAAGTAGAGAGACAGATGTGGGCAGAGAGGGGTTAGTACCCGGGGGGGGGGCAGCCAGGACCCCAGGGACAGTGGGGGTTGTGCATGCTGTTATTCAGTTGCATGCAGAGGGGGTGAGAAGTGGTGGAGTGGGCATGGAGACCCCCTCCACACACATACTCCTCTCATCAGATCCAGAGGGCTCTGGGCAGGGGCACTCACCAGCCCTCTACACATGGCGAAGTGGGCCTCATCAGGTCCCCGCACACTGAAGACCATTCTGGGTCCTACCCTCCCTTTCTGTCCAAGGACCACTGCTGGGAGCAGGGGTAGACCACCTCTCAAAGCCACCAGCTTGGCCAGCTCAAAGAGCTCGGCAGACCCTCCTCTAGGTGGCTGCCCCTCTCCACTCCAGGCTGGACTTTTGACCCTTGGGCAATGTGTCTTCCTCTCAGTCTAGAGCCTTCAACACCCCCACCCCAGGGCCCCAAATGGATGTTTGGCCAAGGTGGGTCCCTCTCTTCTCTGGCATCCAGGACTCACCTTGGCACCTGGCATCAGCAGGGCCCTCTGTGGGGGTCCTGGGCGTTCCGGGGGACCACACTGGGCTGCCCTGAACATGGAAAAAGACAAGGAGGGAGAGGGCCCATCCTCAGACCGTGTTCTCCACCCATATGCCACCCTTGAGTGAGGTTAACCCTTTGCAGCTCCTTGAAGAGGAGCACGTGTGGGGCTTAGACCCACTCGGGTGGGGAGGGGAAGCTGACCAGCCCGAGGGCCCCCTTCCCCCAGCACGTGGGCTTCTGAGGGGAAGTGACCCTAGCATCCCAGCTTACCCACTCAGGTCTGCAGGTCTGTGTGTGAGGTGAAGGGTTCCAAGGGACATGGAGGGAAGGGAGGTGTGTGGGGTATGGCTCAAGGGGCTTGGGGTCAGAGCCAGGTGGCAGGGGCTGCAGAGGAGGTGGGGGCAAGGCTCAAGAGAGGTGTGGAGGAAGCTGGTGGCAAGGAGGCTGGTACCTGTATTGGCAGCTGGGTCCCTTGAGCTGGCAGAGTCTCTGGCGTAGGCGGGCACGGTGCCAGTAGCTGGCCCCAAGCAGCACCAGGATCAGCAACAACAGGAGGCTGAGGGGCAGCCCTGTGGTCAGGGAGCTGGAGGCTGTGGGGTGAAGGCAGGTTTGAAGGTGGGCAGGGCTGAGAACTCCATACCCAGGAAGGGGCAGAGGGCAGGGAGTGAGGCCAAGTGCTCAGAAAGTGAGGGGGGCCAGGAGTCACATCGAGTCAGGGAACCAGCAGTGAAGGGGTCGGAGAAAGAGGGGGCTAAAAGGTAAGCCACTTTGCCCTCCCAGGTGCTCTGCCCCCGGGCCATGCTACCTCTGATCCGGGCGCTGCAGTCAGGGGGGGCCCAGCCCTCTTCACAGTGGCAGTGCCTATTGCTGTCACAGACCTAGGAGGTACAGGTTGAGCAATGAAGGGATCTGGACTCTGGGGCCGTGCTTCCCTGTCCCCTGCTTTTCAAGATCTCAGATATCCACAAGTGGCAGGTGTACTGGGATCCTGGGTGCAGAGAGCCAGCGCTCTGGGAGTCCTTATCCATGCCGGAGGAAACCAGATCAAACCACCACTGTGAGTGCCTTCCGTATGCTGGACACTGCGCCAAAAGCTTTCATACTCATCTCATGCACCTCAGGAAGCGGGTGCAATCATTATGCCCATTGGACAGATGAGGACACTGAGCTCAGAGAGGTTAATGACCTGCCCCAGGTCACATGGCTAGGCAGTAGTAGAGCAAGGATTAAAACTAGGCACGTCTGTGTCCAAAGGCCATGATCCTTTCCCTCCCTGGAGGATCCCTGCTCCCCTTTCTCCTCCCCATGCCAGCTCACCCCATGCCCGTGGCATTTGCTTCGACATTCCTGTGCTCCCAGGAGACCCACAGGCTGGCATCGATGGTCAATGCACACCTGCCCAGTGGAGAAGACGAGCAAAGATTACACTCTTGCAGAGCTTATTAGCACTAGAGGCCAACATGGCTGTGGCCGCACCCTACTTTTACAGATGAGAAAACCAAGGCACATAGGACAACGGGGCTTTACTCAATCACGAGAATCTGAATTCCCCTGAGTCTGTGCCTTTTGCACTGGCGGACTGTGAGACCGGGGACTGCTCGCCGCGTCCAGATATCCCTCCCAACCTGGCCTCGCTCACCCAGGTTGCTCACCAGGCCAGGGCCACAGGCTGTGCCAGGGAGAGTCAGGAGGGGCTGGGCCACGTCGTTGCCCAGGTCCAGGTGTACCCTGCTGCAATTCAGCCTGGTCCCATTGGCTTCTAGTGTCTCCCAGTGCAAATCCCGGGCTGAGCCCAGCAGAGGCTGGGCCATGCCCCCCTGACACTGGAGCTGCCCGCAAATGGCATCTCTAGGGTGAGGGAGGAGGCACAGGGTCAGTGGGATTGGGGCCAAGGCTCCCACAAACCCAGGGGAGGAGA